GCCCTTGCTCACTCAACCTTTTTGGGGCTGATGTGGAGTTTCCCCTTGAAGGCGGCGGTCATACAACGGAACCGACCCCCGGGATAGACTTGCGGCAGCCACCAGCCCTGAAGCCGTTGCGCGAGCATGTTACCCGCAAGTACGGACACAGGTTTATCGCCCCCCCTTTTCGTTCCCCCCCTACCCAACAGGCTGGTATGTACACCCTCTAACCCCCAGCCATATTCTCTGTGGGGTCGGGAAGCCATGTAGATTTCGACAAATGCTCCTCACGCATATTCTATCTGATTCTGGTATGGAAAAATATTCCCAGTGTTGAGAAAAAATGATCCGAAAGCCAAGCTCTGTCTACTTGGATGCCTATAAGCTGCTCCCAAGGCCCGAAACCCTGGCCCTTAAAGACCCTTCTCAAGTCCCGGGAGCCCATAAACCCAAAAATGCCCCCCCTAAACCCTCAACCCTAGATCCCCAAACCCCATCAACCCTCAACCCCTAAGCCCTATGAACCCTCAAGCCCTCTACGCCCTGTAAACCCAAAACCCGTTTTAAACCCAAAAACCCTATAAACCCTTCAATCCTAAAACCCTATAAACCCCTAAACCTTTCACCGCACGACCCTTAAGCCCTACAAACCCTCTAAACCCCTCTAAACCCCTCAAGCCCCTTGACCCCACCCTAAAACCTAAACCCTCAACCCTAAACCCTAAACCCTTTAAACTCTAAACCCTTTAAACCCTGAACCCTTTAAACCCTAAAAAACCTAAACCCTTTAAACTCTAAACCCTTTAAACCCTGAACCCTTTAAACCCTAAAAAAACTAAACCCTTTAAACTCTAAACCCTTTAAACCCTAAACCCTGATCCCTGAACCCTAAACCCTAAACCCTTTAAACCCTAATTCCTTTAAACCCTAAACCATTTAAACCCTGAACCCAAAACCCCAAACCCACCCCTGGATCTCTCGCAGCCGCCGAGGTGCCCACCTTCGTTCAGCCAGTTCCCGCCTTGCCCCGAGCATCCACAGGGTTGGGGGTTTAGGGTTTAGGGTTTCGGGTTTGGGGTTTGGGGTTTGGGGTTTAAGGTTTGGGGTTTGGGGTTTAAGGTTTGGGGTTTAAGGTTTAGGGTTTGTAACTAGGGACTTAAATTGGGATTTTTGGCTCAGGCTTAGGAATTTGGGGTCCGGGGTTTGGGGTTTCAGGCACGACTAGGTGAACCAGCGAGCGAAACTTTGGGTAAAACTATGAGACCAAAAGTCGCTGCATGCGCAGCTTGTTTTACGGCTTTGGGGCTGTTGCTTGTTGGGTCCTAAGCATTCGGCTTTCTCAGAATAAGGCTCCAAGGCAAGTACCCTTCAGTACTTGTGGTTTCCCCCCTTCCCCCCTCCCCCCCCCGCCCTTCCCCACGGGGTTTAGGGTTTTCTACGTTTCCAGAAGCCCTAGAAGCCCAAGCCACTGACCCTTACCTTGAGTACCCGAAACAACCCTCACTCTGAATGACCGCACAGTGGCCCCTAAACCCTTTCACCTTAAACCCCAAACCCTAAACTTAATCCCTAAACCCCTATAAGCCCTATAAACCCCAATAAGCCCTAAACCCTACAACCCCTAAACCCAAAGGAATAGAAGCCATCAAAACTCTCTGGCACTCCATTGGCTCTCACAAGCCTTCATGTGTGCCTATAATCCACTTGGTGTTTAGGATGTAGGGTCAGAGTCATTCAGGTTTAGGGTTTGGGTTTGGTACCATTTAGAACCCTACTCGGGTGTAGGGTTATATAAGGGATTATCCCAAGTACGAGCCCATCAGGGACGTCAGGGGGCACATGGTTGAACTATGGTTGGGTTGTAAGTATGACTGCGGTTGGGGAATGTGGGCTGGGCGGTTGGCTTGTGATATTTGAGCCCAGCATCAAGATTGGCAACCGCAACCCGCATTCTCATCTAGCAACCATGCAGATTGGCGGAAGAAATCGCGCCCTCCCAAGGGAGGCATGAATGCCCAGAAGGCGGCGTTTTAGGGTTTAGGGACTTCATAAGTCAATCCCAAGTCGCAAGCCACAATTGCTAAACCCCCAAGCCCCCCCCCGAACCCTGAACCCTAAACCCATTACCCATTAAACCCAAAACCCAAAGACCCCGTCTCTGAGGTCTCGCTAACACCACGGGCCAGTTTCCCAGTCTCTGAAGGAGGGTTTAGGGTTAGGGTTTCAGGGTTTGGGGTTTAGGTTTGGTTTAGGGGTTCAGGGTGTATATAGGGTGTTTGGCTTCAGAGTAAAGCCTAAACCCTAAGCCCTAAACCCTAAACCCTACACCCTACAGGTTTTGAGGGTTTGGGGTGCTTGGGTGTTGTTGGGGTCAAGGTGCTTGGCGCGTTTAGTTTTTCAGGGTTTTTGGGCTCCAGGTACGGCGTGGCATCTCGGGCTCCAGGACGATTCTAAGGATCTCGGGCTTTAGGGTTTAGGGTTTAGGGTTTAGGGTTTAGGGATATTTTAGGTGTTGGAGGTGTTGAAGTTGAGGGGTCGAAGGGTTTAGGGCTTATGGGCTTTCATGCTTGAAGAGCCGAAAGGTTTAGGGTTTAGGGTTTAGGGTTTAGGGTTTTGGGTTTGGGGTTTGGGTTTAGGGCTTAGGGTTTAGGGTTTAGGGTTGAGGGCTGGCTTCAGGCAAAGCTGAAATTCACAGCTACCTCGGAAGAGTTGGAAACGGTCATGGGGGCATCGCACACGGTGACAGGATTCTTGGGCACGGAATCCAAAAGGCTGCGTCGTAATTTTGTGGGGTTTAGGGCTATAGCCCCAATCTCCAAAGCCTTCAAAACCCTAAAGGCCTTATGCAAGAACCCTCTTCTGAAATTCAGGCAGCCCCACTTGGGCGTAAGCTTGCTGACTCTTCGTGAGGGGCTCAAGTATCCATCATCACTGACAAAGGCTTTTATTTACCGCGATGTATGGTACCCTGATTGCCTACTTCCCAACACAAAGAGCCCTAAACCCGAAACCCTAAGCCCTAAACCCTAAACCCGAAACCCTAAACCCTAAACCCTACAGAGAACGAGAAATGAAATGGCCGTCCCAGGTCTTGCAGCCCTCGAGGTGTCCTTCCCGCGAGCGGATCGGGGCCCGCCCCTGAAACGAAGCCCCAACCATGGATTCAGGGCTCCGGAGGACTGGGTTTAGGGTTTTAGGGATTAAGGTTTAGGGTTTGGGGTTTGGGGTTTAGGGTTTAATTAGGGTTTAGGGTTTAGGGTTTAGGGTTTAGGGTTTAATAACACCAGTGTTCCAATTAAATTTACTGTTCTGACTAGACGGTCGAGATCTCATGAACAGACAACATGAGCATCACCCTGATGAAGGACACTTTTTCAACGCCATGATCATTCTGCCATGCGAGGGACAAGGAGCTCCGTGTCTTCAAACCGGCGGCCGACGAAAAGTTTCAGCCGACACTTGTGACCGTGGGAGATGGACGGTGGCGCCGGCGACCACACCTCGGTGGAGACGCAGAAACATGCGAAAGAAGACTGGTCACTTCCATTCCAGGGCATGAAGAACGGCGTCATCCGAAGCCCGAAACCCCACGCAAGCTCCAGTGAGCCTTAAGCCTGTCACAAAAGCCCCTTCTAAGATTCTTGGTCAGCCAAAATACACAAAGCCGGGTTTAGGGTTTAGGGTTTAGGGTTTAGGGTTTTGGGTTTTGGGTTTTGGGTTTAGGGTTTTGGGAGCCTAGGAGGTATGGATCTGAGACGCCGGCGTATGGCTTCGGAGCGCCAGGAACTCTAGCCCCTCACATCTACAACCTACTTGAAGGTTCATGGTACCTTTAGGGGTATTATAAGTAGGGTTATAAGTACAGTTATAATTGGTTAGTAAGTACCATGAACCTTCAAGTACTGGTTCAACCCCAGACTCTAAAACCTAACTCTTAGCGTGCTTCTCTCTCGGATGGTCCGCAGTGACAGTATGCATAGGCCCTGACTCCTCTGCACCCTAACCACCCCGAAATTCCCGAAAGCCCTGATCGAACCCTAAACCCTGAACACCCCTTGGCCCTCAACCCTACAAAACCCTACAGCACTCTCAAGCCCAAGCTCCTAAATCCATAAACCCTGAACCCTAAACCCTGAACCCTAAACCCTAAACCCTAAACCCTAAACCCTAAACCCTAAACCCTAAACCCTACTGAATCATCCCCTGAACCAAATTCCCGAACTTGAAACTTGCCTAAACATCCTGAAGCTGTATTTCCTATACGCCCCTATGAACGCTACATGGGACTTTACGAAAATCGGGGACCCCCATAGTCGACCCCAAAATAGTAGGTTTCCCTTATAAAATACGGTGCCCCTAGTCTCATTCAGCCCCGACATCTTCAGGGAAGGTAGCCTACTTGACAAATAATAATGGGCTTATAACCCTACTTATAATTGCGATAACCCCTATAAGGCCCTTTAGGGGTATTATAAGTCGGGTTATAAGTACAGTTATAATTGGTTAGTAAGTACCATGAACCTTCAAGTATCTAACCCCCTTCAAAAGGGGATACGGGGCGGGGGACATCAGGCACCCCGACCTCGCGCATTCCCTACAACGAGCACGTAGGACATCCTTAGCACCCCCCTAAACCCTAAACCCTAAACCCTAAACCCTAAACCCTAAACCCTAGACCCTAGACCCTAGACCCTAGACACCAAAACAGCAAACCTTTGGCCGAGTCCCAACCTGCGCCTCTCATCAACAACGCCTCTGCGCAGGCAAGGTACCCTAAGGGTCCATGTACCTGCAGGGTTTAGGGTTTAGGGTTTAGGGCTGAGGGCTTGGGGCTTAGGGTTTAGGGTTTAAGGGTATACTTGGGCAACCTCTTTAAGGGCCAAGTATGTACTATACAGATGCGTGGACCCTTAGGGGCACATTTGGGGCTGCTTTAGTTTGGAGGGGAGGGGTTTCGGTCTGGGTTTGGGGATTAGCGTGAGGTTTTGGGCCATGTGTGTCGCTTTCAGGTATCTCAAGGACCCAAAACCTACTCGGATGTCCAACATGCTTACAACATGCTTCTAGCCAATTTCCTAAGTTCTACCAGCCAGCTTTCTATACTCCGGGCCTTCCAAGCGGGCGCCGCACATGCAGCGATGTGTTCTTTAGACCTTCAAGTGCATCTACCATACACTTTAAGAAGTACCTTGGCTCCACGGAGGGCATACCCTGAACATTGCTAAGGCAAGTATGAGGGGTATGGGTTTGAGAGTGTTGATTCTTCATGAATTGTAAGCCCCAAGCCCTCCACGAGACTTCTTAGGTCAAGTACCAAGAGCAGAAAGGTTGTGGGTTCCGATGTTGAACCTCAGTCAAGGTTCACGTTCGGTTGTGAGGGTTGAGGGTTTGTGGATACTAGGTATGGACCAAGGATGCACGCGGACCCCTCAGCGGCCCCCAGAACCACAGGTTGTAACGGCAGTTTGGCAGTCAGGCCATTTTTCTGTGACATTTCGAAGTCAATCCCAAATCTTCTACGTTCAAGAGGGACCTAAGAAGGACCCAGAATTCAGTAAAGCGCATATGACATTGGTGTTTGCATTGGTGTTATTGGTGAGCGCATGGCTCCTCATAAGATGTTGATGAGTGGACATATGGGATACGAGAAACAGCGCTTGGCACAAATCTAAGCTGTTTCACCTTCACATGATTCACGACTTCGAGTCCGCAGTACTAGAAATATTAACCCTGCCACACCCTAAACCCCCAAAACCCCAAAACCCCTAACCCAAAACCCCTAAACCCCAAAGCCCCTAAACCCCTAAACCCCTAAACTCTAAACCCCCTAAACCCCAAAACCCCCCAAACCCCCTAAACCCCTAAGCCCCTAAACCCCAAAACCCTAAACCTTTGGCGTCCTCTTTTTTTCCAGACGCTCGCGGCTGCCCCGCCCATGATGACGCCCCAGGTGGCACAGGGAAGCTCTGGGTTCTTGAAACCCCACAACCCTGAACCTTCTTTAGGGTTTGGGGTTTAGGGTTTGGGGTGTTGGGTTTGCGGTTTTGGGTTTAGGGTTGTTTAGGGTTTAGGGTTGTTTAGGGTTTGGGGTTTGGGGTTTGAGGTTTGGGGTTTAGGGCCCACAACCTTGAACCTTAAGCCCAGAATTCCTAAGCCCGAAACCCTAACTCCCCCCTGCCCCTGCTTTCCCAGAAGAGGGGTTTCTCTAAACCTTAAGGCACTAGACTAGAACCCTTACTGTGAACTTAAGGCCATAGAACCCTTACTGTGAACTTGGGGAGTTTCGTGTTTTAGGATCAGGTTTGAGAGCTGAGGGCTTCAAGGGCAGTTTGGGGTTTTTTTCTTCAGAGGGCGTGTGTTTCGCGTCCCCTTTCTCGCTTCGTTGACGCGTCTCAGACGCCACTGACTAAAACCCTAAACCCTGATACCCCAAAACCCCCAAACCCCCTAGACCCCCCTATAGACCCCGAACTCCAAAACCCCCAAAACCTCCTGACCCCCTAAATTCCTGAACCCTAAACCCTAAACCCCCAAAACCCCTAAACCCTAAAATCTAACCCTAAAACCTAAACATAAACAACCCTAAATCCCAAACCCCAAACCCTCAACAACGAAACCCCAAAACCGTGCCCTTGCCACGCCACGGCAGGTGTCGCGCACCTCCGAGGGCATCCCACTTGAGCCGCCGGAGCGCCCATCCTCTGGTGGAGGGTTTAGGGTTTGGGGTTTAGGGTTTAGGGTTTGGGGTTTAGGGTTTGGGGTTTAGGGTCTAGGTTTGGGGTTTGGGGTTTGGGGTTTGGGGTTTGGGGTTTGGGGTTTGGGGTTTGGGGTTTAGGGTTTCGGGTTTGGGGTTTGGGGTTTGGGGTTTGGGGTTTAGGGTTTGGGGTTTAGGGTTTGGGGTTTGGGGTTTAGGGTTTAGGTTTGGGGTTCAGGGTTCGGGAGGTCTACGGTTTAGGGAGCTTAGGGTTTAGGGAGCTTAAGGTTTACGGTTTAGGGGGCTGAGGCTTAGGGTTAAGGGTAATACCTGGAAAATACATCCCAGGGCTTAGGGCATTTGAGGCTTTAGGGAATCTCAGCCCTGAAGACCAATGAGGTATGGCTTAGGGTTTATGGGGTTTATGGGGTTTATGGGTTTTATGGGGTTTATAAGTTTAGTTTTATATGGTTTATAGGGTTTACAGGGTTTATATGGTTTTGTAGCGATTATGGTGTTTTGGGTTCTTCGGGCTTGGGGACTTCGCGGGCTTCTTCTCCCCCACCCCGCCCCCCCCCTCCCCTCCCCCACCCCCTCCCCCCTCCCCCACCCTCCTCCCCCACCCCCCCCCTCCCCCACCCCCCCTCCTCCCCCACCCCCACCCCCCCGCCCCCGCGCTCCCCCACCCCACCCACACACACACACAAAACCCTGAACCCCAAACCCTAACCCCAAACCCTAGCCCTAAACCCGAAGCCCTAAAAAGCCCTAAACCAAGAGCTCGGCAGCTTCCACCGAGGTTGGCCACGGATGCGCTGCCCAAGGACCCAGAGATGCTGGCGAAGGGCTCCCCGATTCGACAAGTCTCCACCCAGGGTTCCCTTTTGTGGGGGTTTACGATATTAGGGATACCTTATTGGGGTCCGTATTACAAGGGGATCCTAGTCCCAATATCAATAGCCCCCCCCCACCCCCCAACAACCTAAGAACCCTAAACTGCTCAAGAACAGCTCTCAACCCAAGTAGCCAAGAACACAAAACCCAGCAGACACCAAGCACCTCGCTTTGAAAAGCTGACCCTAACTCACCGTAAACCACCCAAACTGAAGCAACAAAAGAACACAAGCACCCCAACAACCCGAAGCGCCCAAACACCCCTAACACCTCCCAAAAAGCCCGAAACCCGACACTCTAAACCTAAACCCTAGACTCTAAACCCTAAACCCTAAACTCTAAACCCTCAACCCTCAACCCTCAACCCTCAACCCTCAACCCTAAACCCTAAACCCTAAACCCTAAACCCCAAACTCTCCATCATGCTCCGGCTGGGCCTCGTCGCCTTTGCGTGCTGGTCTCTGGCCGCGGCATCGCAACGCAGCAGGGCGTCGGCTTCTTTCCTGAGAATTTAGGGTTTGGGGTTTAGGGTTTAGGGATTCAGGTTCGGGGTTTAGGGTATAGGGATTTAGATTCGGGGTTTAGGGTTTTAGGGTTTCGGATTTAATGGTTTACGGGCTTAGTGGCTAGAGATTCACTACTCATTGCTTAAGAACCCCCCCCTCCAGAAAAAGAATATGCTTCCTGAATTATAAGGGTAATTTGGGGGTTATTTTGTTCAGGTCGTGAGAGTTTTTGTGGATTAGAAGGCCTGGAGGGTTTCTGCCATGAATGGATTGGAGAGGGAAAGGATCAGAGGGGTCGCATAAGAGGTGAACCCTAAACCCTAGACCCTAAACCCGAAACCTAAACCCTAAGCCCTAAGCCCTAAGCCCTAAGCCCTAAGCCCTAAACCCTAAACCCTAAACCCTAAACCCTAAACCCTAAACCGTTCCGGGAATTTATTGCTCGGCAGATCCAACTTTATGGATTGTTCGGGCTTCGGGGGTAAGTGGGTAGTTATCTACATGAGGTCCCTTTTTGGGGTCCCCCATATAAAGCCGTACCCTTATAAATTGGACCTCAAAAGGCGCCCGACACATTGGAAAGCCATCCAAGTGGTAGCAGCTTTCGGCTCATTCGTTGAGTTGAGGGGTCGCATCTGAGTTATGTCGCGATGGGGGCTTCCAGAGTTTGGGAGGGTTTCCAGCTCATTGCTCAGGGCAGATGACTTAGGTCCTTTCTGGCGTGTGCAAGTCCGAGAAACTGTTCCCGAACGGTAGCAATCCTCCAGATCCCACGTTCCCCTGCGGAGACATGGCCGGGCGAGGTGGGGCCAGGGGTCGCGGCACTGGCTACACCCGGCCAGCTCCGCCCCCGGAATTGGATGAGGCCGTTGTGGCAGCGGTCCATCAGCTTCAGAAGGATGGCGACCTGGGCAGGTTCATGGAGACCAGCGGTGGTGATGTCAATCGGGAGTTGAAATCCTCCAAGCTCCGAACCACGCCTTTCATGGCCATGCTTGAAGGCTTGACCCACGCCAAGCAGCTGACCAGCCCTGCCGGTATCGAGGCTGTGCGACAAGCTGTTCAAGAGCTCGGGGCCCGTTGGTCCCCCGATGCCTTCACGAGGATGCTCCGGGGAATCGTCGAGCTCCGCGCAGTAGCCGATGCCCGGGAGCTTGTGGACCTGGCGAGGGCTTCCGGCGCGCTCTGGGCCCCTTCACCTGAGGCGATGTTCTACGGCCACAATGACTTCTGCTTCCAGACGATGGTCCCCCTGCTGTTGGCGGCTGGCTTGGGTCAGGATCCGGCTTCCTTGGAGCTTCTGGAAAGGTCTCTGGCCGAATGCGGAGTGGAGAATCCCATGCAAGTCATGCTGGAAGGGGGTGGCACCCTCTTCTCCTGCCTGGTTCATGACTTGGCCTCCCATGGCGTGTTGGGAAGCCCCGCGGGGGATGCACTGATCGACCTTGCCATGAGACATGGTGCAGCCTGGACATCACCTGACGGCTGGTGCTGCACGCCTTTTGAGGACATCTTCTCAGCAGCCTTGCGCTCGGGCCCGCGCAGGCGCGAGACGAGCATCTCTCCCGAGACAGCCCTGGCCTACCTAGAGAAGCTAGGTAGGCTCTTGGGAGATTCTTCATATTGTCCCCTATTGGGTTTAAGAGGGTCATATTCATCTAAACCCTAAACCCTAAACCCTAAACCCTAAAATCCATATTGGTTTTTTTGAGGATCATCCGCAGGAATAACCCTAAACCCTAAACCCATATAGGGTTTAAGAGGATCATATTCAGGAATATGAAAATAAAGAGAGTTTGTTAAGGGCCCTCCTAGGAGGGTGCTGGAAGCCCATCCCAGTCCTGGCGAACTCTGGAACGGCTCTGTGGCCACGGATCCTCGTAGCTGATGTTGAGTTTAGGGTTTAGGGTTTAGGGTTTAGGGTTTAGGGTTTAGGGTTTAGGGTTTAGGGTTTAGGGTTTAGGGTTTAGGGTTTAGGGTTTAGGGTTTAGGGTTTAGGGTTGTACTCACTTTACCCTTTTTGGGGGGTAATGGAATTCCCCTAAAGAACTGCAAGTAAACCCTGCACCCTAAAACCCTACGCGGGGGCAACCTAAAGAGGGACGGAATCCAGGGAGTGTCACCCCTTAAGGTTGCAAAATGTTTGGTTTTGTTCGTCGACCCTTGAAGGGGTACCGACCGAGGCTAGGGGGGTCCAGCGCAGGATACCTAGGCCGCCAGCAACCCACCGGCGGGTCCTAGTACTAGCTTGTCCCCTCCTCCAGGCTGATGGCTCCCGTGGCCATCTTGAGCCATTGCTCATCCTTGAGCCATAAATCTGTTGCGGTTGTTCTCTTGACTTAATTGCTTCAATGTCCCTATGACATCTCCGCACTCCCCCTGTCCCAGGTTACCTGGGACACCTAGGGAGATGGCACCATTGGCCAAAAACTGCACAATGGCAGCAGCCGTAGAAGTTTAATGTCTCATTGGACGGTCCGTAGCCATTAGCTCTTTTAAACTTGCTGCCATTAAGGAAGAAAACCACCACCAACCTTAACGCAGATCATACCATCACCGTCTCCTCTCCGTGGTGTCACCAACGATTTCTTTTCCACGCCAGATAAACCACCATGCTCTTGAAGGAACACCAGTGAAACCATGCAGCCTTATCCTGCACTCCTTCCCCACCATAAACATACCAGCCAATTGTCCAGATTAATGTTATATCCTGATTAGTGTGCCCCCCCGGAATTGTAAAAAAAACGTCCGAAAATTATTCAGGGGGGGTCTATTTGAGGAGGCCTCCCGGAATTGTGAAAAAAATGTGGGGCGATGCAAAATTTCGGCGAGGCTGCTGAATGGCATTGTTGTCTAGAAATCGCTTCTGAACTGAGCCGATGAGACCAAACCTTGAGGCCTGAGGTTGTCGGGCCCTGAAATCTTCAGTCGCCAGGCCAGCCCCAAAACCACGATTCCTGCTTTTGTACCGAGGCCGGGCAATCAAATTTCAAAGGGGGTAGTCCAGCAGCTTCCCGAACGCCGTAGAATATAAATCGTTTCCTCTCCCGAGTTTTTTTTTGCTCATCATTTCCAGTCAGCGCACGAGTTCCCCCACACCTGCTTCGTCCTCTTTGGTCAGCGCACTAGGCCCCAGGCTATCGTATCCCGCCAAAACACCGTCTGTGGATATGGGCCTTTCCCACTGCGTTTCGCCAGATGTCAAGCAAGAAAAACACGGTCTTCCGTCATCAGTGTAACGCTGCTCCCGCTCCGGAAACCCTGAAGTCTCAGCCATGTTCAGGTTCTCGCCCTCTTTGAACGACTCCCAAATCCCTTCAGCCTTCAACTCCAGAATCTCAGCGGTCGCCAGCACCTCCACTGTAGTAGTTGGTTCCTCACTCGATTTCCCGCCAAGCGATCCAGAACTCAGGAAGCCACCCGTAGGATTGCCAGTCATCTGCTCTTCCGTATTCCGCGACTGTTCCAGAGCTGCCATAGCAGCAGTACTCAGCTCAGTCTGAGCGCTTTGCTCAACCATAATCCTCCTTGATAGCCTCGATGATGAAGACACTACGCCCTTCCTCCTCAGGATATCCAGTACGCGCAGCCTCCAGTTCCATATCCACGCTACCAGCTGAATCCCAAAATCTCTTAACTCCAACCAACATCAGGGTGTCCCACGTGTTCACCAGAGCTTCCGCCTTTAAAGTGTCTCTTCCCAAATCTGCAGCTCCACCACGTACTTCTCCAGGGGCGATTCACTTTTTCCACCGTCACATTGGACTCTAATGGCGTTTCCCCAGAGCACGGGCGCTGCGAATCCATGATTCCTCTCCTAGAACTCTCAAACCTTAACACCGCAACGCAGGAAACCGACTTTTGGGCTCATAACCTGCGGGGCAACCAAAAGAGGGACGGAAACCAGGGAATTTGGTTCTGTTCGCCGACCCTTTACGCCCTGAAGAGGGACCAACCGAGGCTAGGGGGGTCCAGCGCAGGATGCCTAGGCCTTAAGCCAGCAACCCAACCGCGGGTCCTAGTACTCCTTGTCCCCTCCTCCAGGCTGATGGCCATCTGAGCCATTGCTCATCCTTGAAGTCATAAATATTGAATGCTTTACGGTTGTTCTCTTGGCAACCTGCTGCAATGTCCCTGTGACATCTTCGCACCTCAAACCCTAAGCCCTAGGCCCTAAACCCTAAACTTTTTTTGGGGGGGGGGGCTTCATGAACTCAGCAACTGAGGATGAAATCTTCGCAGTTCCATCGAAGCTCCAAGTCTTGCTCCGCGAGCTCGCTGAGCAACTTGCTGTTGGTTTGTAGGGAATGAGGGAATGAGGAACCCTACATAATCCCTTATATAGGGTACCCTATAGAATCCCTTAAAGGCTATATATAGGGGGCACCCCATTCCCTCATTCCCTACTAACCGACAGTAAGGCA